GGAGAGGGAAAAAGAGAGGAAGACAGAAGGGAGAGACAAGGAGAGAGAAGGAGGGAGAAGGAGAGACAAGGAGAGAGAGAGAAGGAGAGGGAGGGAGAGGAAGAAAAAGAGAAGGAGAGGGAAAAAGAGAGGAAGATAGAACGGAGAGAGAGAGAGAGAGAGAGAGAGAGAAAGAAAGCGCTCCCATGCAAATGAGGTCGCCGGCAGTGACAAGTGCGCGTGCGGGCGCGCGCGCACGGCGGGCGGGACACGCACGTTTCGTAGGTGCTGTTTGTGTGGGGCACAAAATAGAGCCCGGCCAAATCCGAGCGGTTCAGCGGCAGCGACGGCTGGATGGTGTTGGCCACGGCGTCGCCCTGCGGGATGCCGGGGATGAAGTTGGTGGACTGCGATTTCCCCGGGCAGGGGGGAGGGGGGCCATGTTAGCGCGCAGCCCTGGGCGCAAGGAGCGCGGAAGGGAGAGCAAGAGGAAAAAGAGCAACCCCCAGAGGGGCATAGCAGCCTATCGGCGGCGCCCCCTGCGAGGCCTCCGTACCAGGCTGATGAAGAGCTTGACCGCGCCGTCGACCACATGCGTGCCGAGGGACTGCTGGTGGCTGAGAGCAAAGGCATCGGCGGCGATGGTGGCCGCGGGGCCCTTGCTGCCGCGACTGGCGGTCGCGGCCGCCGCGTCACCGCCACCAAAGCGCAGGAGAGAAATGCGCGAGTAGAGCCAGTTCTGCCGGGAGGGGAGGCACGTCAGACGCCGGGCACCGGGCGCGGGAGCCAGGAAGGCCCACCAGGGGACCAGGGGGGGGGGGGGACCAGGACATACCATGCTGTGGGAAATGATGGCCAGGGTCTCCATGCGGGCGGGGCTCAGCTCGAACTTGAGCGCCGCCTCCGACAGGACGGTCGACCCGTCGTCGTATGCCGAGAAGGGGGACACCGCGCCCGGGGAGTAGTACGTCGGTCCGGAGCCAATGTGCGACCGGCCGAAGTCCGCATGCTGGGCCGGCTTGTTTCGGTAGTCCGGCTGCTCGGTCTTGCGAATGGACCGCATGCGCGCGCGGTCCTCGTCGAAGTCGCGCCGGCACAGCTGGTCCGCGGTGAGGAAGTCATTCTGCAGCCGAGGAGCACCAACCAGGGGCAGGGTGGCCGGCCGGGGGATGGGACAACCCCCGCCCGATTCCGCGAGCCCAGCAGCAGGCCGAGAGTCAGAACGCGCCTTCCAAGAGACCCCCCTGGAGCAGGAAGAAAAAAAAAGACGGCCGAACGCGTGCGCCGGGGAGGGGGGGGGGGGGGGACCACCACGCTTGCGCACCACGCAGATGTTTTTGAAGAGATGCTCCAGCCGGTCGGCCGAGGGTTGCAGGTCGCTCGGCAGGATGTCATACGAGGCCTGCTCGATGCCGGACACCAGCAGATTGTTGCTGGCCCGCGAAAGGATATTCTGCCCGAGGGTGTAGTACTTCTTCACCAGGGCCACGGCCAGCTGGACGATGGAGTCCCGACATTCGGCCGGCAGGCCCAGGCGCTCGGACCGCGACGACACGAAGGCCAGCTCGGCCAGGATGGCCAGCAGCCGAGCCGCCGACCGGAGGACCGGCGGTCCGCTCGGCTGCGGACACACCTCCGGCACCGGGCTTTCCGCGCTCAGGGCCGCCAGGCTGCCGGCCGGCAGGGCCCCCGCGTGAACCTCCGCCGGCCCGGCCCCGGCATTGTACTCGAACAGGCGGTTGACCTCTTGGAAAATCTCCAACGAGATGGTCTCCGCTCGGGAAAAGAGCGCCGGCAGGAAGGCATCCATCATGAAGCGCCGCAGGTAGTCGCTGAAGCCGAGGACCGCGGCCGAGCCCGGGGAGCCCGACCCGGTGGACCCGAGCCCGGCCCCGGGCCCGGCCGAGGAGTCGCCCCCGAGGCCGGGGCTCCCGCCCGCCGGCCCCGGCGCCGGTCGCTTGGCCGCCAAGGTGTTGATGCTGCCGCCGATGGCAAAGTAAAACTTCTCCATGGCCAACTTCCCATAGTTCGAGGGGACAAACTCCGGCGGGGCAATCGACAGCGAGGCCTTGCACCGGCGGAAGCAGACATCCGTGAAGGACCGAATGGGGCCCGTCACCACGATGGTCAGGCAGGCATTCGGCATGGCCAGCAGGCGATGCCCAGTGACACCGGTCTGCCCGGCCGATGTGCCGGATTCGGCGTCGGGCCCGAGAGTGTGCAGAAGCCCATGAGAGCTGCCCAGTGGGCCGCCGGTGGGGGAGCGGCCAAAGCCGGGCCCCGGGGGGGGGGGGGGAATCCAGGCGGCAGAGAGGCGAGGGTGAGTGTCTGGCGCATTTGCGCATCAGCCAGCGGGGAAGCACAGCGGAAGCAGGCACGAACCTGGTCGAGTGGGCACGCAGGTGGTCGGTCACGGCCAGCGATGCGCGCGAGTTGGCCAACTTCAGGAGCTGGCCTCGGCCAAGGACGGGGAGAGGAGGTTAGACAAAGCGGCGCCCCCACCGGGCCAGTGCAAACAACATGCCCCCCCCCCCCCCCCCCCCCCCCCCGGCCATCGCTCCGTGTGTGTGTGTGTGTGTGTGTATGAGAGAGAGTCCCTCCCTCGTGCTCGTTGCACACCCCTTGCAGCTGCTTCCCGGGGTGGAGACGCACCCCCCGGCCCTGGGCATTGATGGAGTCCACGGAGGCACCGGGCTTCTTGGCGACCGTTTGCGGGCGCTTGAAGCCGAAGATGCCGCCCGAGTCGGAGATGTTCTGCGTGATGGTCTTGGACATTTCCGACAGCGAGGCCATCGTCGCGGCCAGGGTGGAGCTTGTATCGATCGACCGGATGGACAGGTAGTCGTCCATGAAAACGCGGAGCTGCACAGCGAGCAAGAAGCCGGTGAGTCAAATGCGCGTGCTGGCGGGCGGCCACACAAAGGCCGGGGCGCAGGCATGGCAGCGGCCCTGAGGGAGGGCCAGCCGGCCTGCTCTCTCCCCCAGCATGCCCTGTGCGTGTGTTCAGATGCAAATGTGTGCACGGCCGCATGTGCGCGTGTGCGCGTGTGCGCGTGTGTTTGAAAAGCAATGCGCGCACCTCCCGATCGATGGCAATCCAAATGGGCTCAATGGGCGGGAAGCGCGCGTGCGCATTCGACGAGATGGTCTGGTACATGTCCATGTGGGACTTGGGCGGGGCCGAGCCCACGGGAATCAGGCCGAACTCCACGGCCGCGCAGCGGATTTCGTGCGAGATGTACAGGTGCAGCTCGTGGCACAGGCCCGACAGCTGGAAGAAGGCCGCCAGGAGTTCCCGCACGAAGGTGGCATCGCGGAAGGCCACCGCCGGGGTGGGCCCAGCGGCGCCCCCGGTCCCGGGGCCGGCGTCCCCCGCACGGCCGCCCGCATCGCGCGAGGCAGTGCCATCAGACCCCGG